TGGAAACAAATAAAACATTGTGTGTCAACTATACCCCCCAAATTTTTTTAATAAAGCAGAATTAAACCAGTGTTTATAAATTGCAAAATACTTGGAAACAACAATAAATAAAGTATTGCCGGTCTAATCCCTAAGTTCTCAACAACTGGTATCTTGTAATATATGCATTTATAAAAAACAAAATCTTTTATTGTTTTTTGGCATGAACAAATAAACCTAATTTTTTTTTTAAAGATTTTATTTCTTTATTTGACAGACAGAGACGCAGTAAGAGAGGGAACACAATCAGGGGGAGTGGGAAGAGGGAGAAGCAGGCTTCCCGCAGAGCTCGGAGCCCGACGCGGGGCTCGATCCCAGGACCCTGGGATCATGACCTGAGCCGAAGGCAGACACTTAACGACTGAGCCATCCAGGTGCCCCTAAATACACCTAATTTTTAGATTGCCTTGTTGGTGTCTTATTCAAAGCAGAACCATTTTCCCCGTGCTTTTTGATTTGTGGGAGAGAGAGATTGCCTTGACAATTCATATGTCTTATGGACAAAGTTTAAAAGGCATAGCTTTCAGGGATTGTGTACCTAAATTTTTTCTCTGAAGAGCTTTTTAGTTTAAAGAGAACTGAAGAACAGTGTTGACATTTATGACTTAAAAAAACTCGATTTTTTTCTGTAATTTTCAAAGAAAATAATTTCAAAGAACTGCTGTTCATGACTTATTGAACCTTATTTTGAAATTTATAAGGAACAGTTGATTTATACACTTTTCAGGTTCTGTTTTTACTAATTAGTTCTTTTAAAATATTTAAATACCTGGGAGTTAATATGGTTTATCATAACAGATAAACAGTATATTTGGTTGATTCTGAATTTTGTGTTCTTGACAGTATAAGAATTTATAAAATTTTGATTCCTTCTCCAAATTATTTATTAAATAGTTGTATGTTTATAATAAGTCTAGCACTTAGTTGTAGTCATTTGCTCGTTTTGGTATTTTGAGAGCTTAAATTGTTGAGCTTTATCATTGTTATAGCTTTGAAATTTAAATTTAAAAACACGCAGATATAAACAATATTATATTTTAACATCATTAATAGGCTATTTCCTTTCTTAGGTCCTTCTAAGACTGAGGAGTCCAGATCCATTGCTAAAATATGAGAAACATGAAATTTAAGTTAAATACTTTTATCTTGAGTTCTCCTATACCATATTATTTTTTTCTATACAATATGTTGGACTCATTTGAAATATTTTAATTTTTGGTTGAGTTGTTTTCTTATCTCTATTTGTCATTTTCATCTATTACATTAACAACCTCTGGTTTTTAGTAGACTGTGTCACCTTTCTATTTTCTCAAGTTCTTTTCTTGATATTTATTGGTGTTTGATTCATTCTCAATTTCACTATTTTGTTAGAAGTGATGGAAAGTGACTTTTTTTCCCCCTTCTCATTGCCTCATTAAAAATAGAGAGGCCATAGTTGTTTCTCTAGGGAATTTTGTCAAGTCAAAAGTTCAGAAATAAGGATGGTGTGTCCTCTGCTTGCATTTTGGTCTCTTTGACTAAGGTCACCTGGCTGACAGTTCTGGTCTCTTAGGAAAGCTTCTCTCCCACTACTTTGAAAATCACCAAAATAGATTTCAATTAATGTCAGATTGTTATTCTCTTTGAATTATCTTTCTTGTCAGTTTTATAGTGGAAGTTTGCTGATTTATGTCTAATAGTCTAGGATGTTTTTGCAGGAAATACCAGAAATAATCCAAATTCTGGATTATTATAATCCTGTGTTTCTTAAAATGTTTATATCATTAGCAGAAATTTGTATTGATATTTGAGCCATGGGTAGATAGTCTCAAGGATACTTCTGGCTTAATTAACACAGGCCTTAAATTTTCATAATGAGTTTGGTGGTTGTTTTAAGATAAACTGAATTTTAAATATGCCAGACCATTTCTCCATCTTCCTGCTTTCTTTCTTTCTTTCTTCCTAAGTCACAACAAAACAAGATAAAACCAAAACAAAACAAAACACGAACCACAATGTAAAAACATTAACTGAAGTTTTGGGGAAAAGTTACCCATAGTTCTAACTTTTCAAAACAGCTGTTATCATTTTTTTTTCATGTATTACTTTCTGTCTTTGTCCACATATATGGATGTTTCATGTGATTAATATGTGGTTAAGATTATAGAGAACATTTATAAAACTTAACAATAAAAAGGTAAATCCTGGGGCTAATGAATATATACTGTGGGAAAAGAAAGAATAAATGGATAAATATTAGGATAAATGAAAGGATAAATATTAGGAATTTAAGCCATCGTAGGTCCAGCTGGGTTGTCTAATTTAAAAAATAAGGTGGTTCAAATTACTAAGAAATGAGGTGTTCTAAGATACCTGAAATTTGCTCCATCATTTACCCTTGGGCTTTTCAATTTTTTTGGCTAGAATTTGTTCAGAAATACCAAGCATTTCTAGATACAAAAGAGAATGAAATTTAGATGGAGAGGATCATGCTTGAGTTTCTTTTCTATTACGTACCATGTGATCAGGACAACACTCTTCACCTTCATGAGCTTCAACAGGGAATCACAGAATACTTGAAGGATTAGATTTAAAATGCCAAAGTTGAATTCACATACCATACAAATATTTGTAATTACATAGAGACATGAATAACTAACATGTATAACTAATTGTATCTTTTTTGTGACTATGGATATCATTAGTGTGATGAATGTCCCTTTGTGTAAATTTTGGTCGTTTAGTACATTGTATAGGTTGTGTGTGAACTCCAGGATCTCATGAGGAAACCAGACTTGTCCAAGAGTGCTTGTCACTGGTCAGTGACAAGGAATGCTAAAGAATTTTAATTTCTACTTGAGTGTCCTTTTTGATAGATCATACCATAGCCACTTAGCAGCATGTTGACACCTTTGAGCAGCAGTTAAACATTCCTTTGTGTGACCCAGAAACCCCGTTTCTGATTATTAAAATAACACTTGGAAAGTAAATTGAATTATTGAACATACAAATGTAAGTGGAATGTTTTTCTTACAGCCAGTAAAAGGTTAATACCTGGGTGTGTCTGAGGAAAAACAACTAATCTAATCTTTGTTTCCACACTGGGTAGCAAAGTTAGAGGAATCCACAGGTTATGGTTGCTCATGTCTGATTTAGGATGAGTCACACAGCTCAAATAAGAATACAAGGGGGGGTGGTGGTTAAGTGTTGTAATGGATACAAATATGGTATTAGGCAAGTAGTTCATTCTTATAAAGGAAACAGGAGGATGTCTCCAAGGAAGTGATACCTATGTAGGGCTTGCCGGATAAACAGAAGTTCACCAGGAAGCCTAACAGCCTTCCAGGTCCAGAAAACTGCACAAGCAAGACATAATGTGTTTAGTGTAATGCAAGTAATGGCGTGATTTGTAGAGGGCATAAGGAAGGGGTTAGGGAGAATGAGCTTAGAGCCACTGCACTAGTGCTACATTTGACTTTTACTAAAGACAGTGAGATTTTTATTTCCACCCCAGAGAAATGTTGACAATGTTGTATAATTAATAAGAGGAGAAAGAATAACATAGCCAATCAATATAAAATAACAGAGAAGTGTTTAAAACACGAAGAAGACACTCCAAATGTGCCCTTGCTGAAAACAGACCATTTTTTGGGAAAGCGGGCAGTGTCATATTCCAATCCAGCTAGGTGGCAAATGCTTCAGAGAAGAGTTAATTCCCCACCCCACGTCAGAAATGATAGCACAGGTAACCTGACTGATGACACAGCTAAACCATCTGCTACGACTTATCATATAAACGCTAAAATCCATTATTCCCTTAGCCACTGATGCTCTCTGACATTCCAGAATTCACTGATTGGGTTAAAGGTCGCTTTACAAAAAGAAGTTTATGTAAATGGCAAATATATATATTTTTCTTTTTAAAAATTAGGACAGTGATAAGAGATACTTTGATAGGGGCACCGTCAGGAAATACTCAAGTAAATGTTTTCCCATAATGACTTTCTGATTTTCCCCTTTACTTTAAGCACTAGATAGGAAGTCAGGAAACCGGGATTCTAGACCCAGCCATATCATTTCCCAACACATACCTCATCCCAGAGAAGTCTCTACTTTTCTAGCCTTTGGTTTCCTCATTTCTTGAATGAAATAATTTTCAAGTAGGTTCAATGGGATGTAGCAGAGATGCTTCATAGGCTGCTTTGGAAGATGAAGAGAGCCTCCTGCCAACTTTTCCCGTTCCAACAGAGCAGCTTTGCTTTTATTTGTATTATAAATGGAGCTTTCACAAGACTTTGTGATAAAAGGATTCCGTCACTTTTTAAAGGTTTGAAAATCAACGAACTAGACACTTCATAGGGCATATCCAGCTCAGAAACAATTTCCACATCTGTAGAATGAGAATAACGATAGTTTCATTTTATAGGTATCTGAGGGGTGATCACGATGTTACATATAAAAAAGGGCATAGACTATAGGAAGCATTCAGTATGTTAGCTGTTATCCATCCCCCACCCCAAGTAGGTCCCTCACAAATAAGACTGCATTTCATGTGACTAGTGAACTTTGAGTATGAAATACCTGAAGAAATTGCCTGATCTGTTTTATATCAAAAACACTATAAAGATGTCTTGGATATTTACTCTGAATTTTTAGTATAACCATTTTATTTCTATTTTTTTGTGCATTGCTTTTCCCTTCCACACTTGAAAGTCTTCTCCTTCTCCATCAGATTTTTGAACTAATTATGACCAGACACATTTATGAAAAAAAAAATTTTTTTTGAGAGTAAGTGTGAGTGGGTGGGGGAGGGGCAGAGACATAGGGAGAGAAAGAATCTTTAGCGGGCTCCAGCTGGGCCTGGAGCCCATCACTGAGCTGGATTTCACAATCCTGAACTCATGACCTGAGCTGAAATCAAGAGTCAGACGCTGAACCGACTGAGCCACAATTATGAAATTATACACATCAATGTGTTTCAGGCTTTCCAGTGCTTGGGAAAGTGATATCAGCATCCACTCTCTAACCCTGCCCTCTGCAACCTGCTTGGAGCTTCTGTTGATATTATCAAGGAATAATGCCATGCTGCCGCCATCCCTTCGCTCTGTGAATTCCTTTCAGGTAAGTACAGCTCCTTTACCAGAGGATTATTTTTCAGTTTTACTTGTAATTGTTTTTTAAGGATCTTGTATTTCACAGGAGATAGCCCACAGAACCCACACTTCCGGATGATAATAATAATAAGCACAATGCATGTAATGCCTTGTCTGTCTCTTTGAAATAAATAAACAATAGAGGCTCAGATTGATTAGGTAATAGTCTAATAGTGGCAGAACCTGTACTTTTCTAACTCCAGAATTTGTTCTCTTAACCTCCATCTCTCCTGCGTCTGACAGAAATGGCAAAAACACCTGACAAAGACACTGTGAATGCCACTTTCCCTTTCCTAGCTTTGCCCTAAAACAAAGATTTTCAACCACTATTAGTAGCTTTTGCTACTGTTAGCTTGCAGTCAGATTGCCAAATAGATGTTTAACACAGATGGTGTTACCCACTTCCAGCACCTTTTCCCTTTCGCCTAAGTGCCTCCCTCATCACTTTGACACTCCTCTGGATATTTATCTATGCTCCTGGTAAAGGACGTGGTCAGAATAGAACAACATATGTGGTCTGACCAACGGGAAAACCTCCTCCCTGGTAGGCAGCTAATGGTCACTGAGGTGGCAAATGGGAATTAAGATGCTAACTAGTTGCTTAAGTTATGACCCATAGCTACTGAATGTAACATTGAACTTATCTATGACTCTTGACAATGGAAAAATACTCATGAGCCCTCTGAGGCTGTTGAGAAGGTCACATGCATTGCTGAGAAATAAGTAAACATGGGTTGGCTCTACTTTTGAAGGATTGTGGCTGTATCCTAAGATAACTTCAGGATCAGTGTATATTGCTTGATATACCTCTGTGGTAAAACAAGATGTGGATTTTCCTATGAATTATAGCTCAGGAAATTGTTTTAAAAATTGCTGCAAGGGAATGCTTCCAAACTCATTTTACAATGCCAGCATTACCCTGATACCAAAGCCAGACAAGAAGCCACTAGAAAAGAAAATTATAGGGGCGCCTGGGTGGCTCAGTCCTTAAGCATCTGCCTTTCACTCAGGTCATGATCCTAGGGTCCTGGGATCGAGCCCTGCATCGGGCTCCTTGCTCGGCGGGAAGCCTGCTTCTCCCTCTTCCACTCTCCCTGCTTGTGTTCCCTCTCTCGCTGTGTCTCTCTCTGTCCAATAAATAAATAAAATCTTTAAAAAAGAAAAGAAAAGAAAATTATAGGCCAATATCCCTGATGAACATAGATTCAAAAATCCTCAAGAAAATATTAGCAAACTGAATTCAATATACATTAAAAGGATCATGCACCATGACCAGGTGGTGTTTATTCCAGAGATGCAGGGATAGTTCAACATCTGCAAATCAATCAGTGTAATTAACCACATTAACAAAATGAAGGATAAAAATTATATGATCATCTCAATAGAGTTAGAAAAAACACTTGACAAAATTCAACATCCATTTATAATTAAAAAAAAACAAAACCTCTCAACAGAGTGGGTATAGAGGGAACATACCTCAACATAATAAAGGCCATAATATGACAAGCCCATATCTAACATCATACTCAGTGATAAAATCAGGAATAAGATAGGGATGCTCACTCTCACCACTTTTATTCAACATAGTATTGGAAGTCCTAGCCAAAGCAGTTAGGTAAGAGAAAGAAATAAGAGGGGATCTAAATTAGAAAGTGAAGGAAGTAAAACTCTTTGCAGATGATATATTACGTAGAGAAAACCCTAAAGACTCCACCAAAGAACTGGTAGAACCACACTTCAATTAAGAAATGAACAAAAGATCTGAACAGACATTTTTCCAATTAAGTCATACAGATGGCTAACAGGTACATGAAAAGATGCTCAACATCACTGGTCATCAGAAAAATGCAGATCAAAACCACAGTGAGCTATCATCTCACACCTGTTAGGGTGGCTGTCATCAAAAATATAGGAAAGAACCAGTGATGGCGAGGATGTGGAGAACATAAGGGAACCCTTGTGCACTGTTGGTGGGAATGTATATTGGCGCAGCCACATGGAAAACAAACCTTTTGGCCAAAAAATTAAAAACAGAACTGTCATATGAACCAGCAATTCCACTGCTGAGTGTTTATCCAAGGAAAATGAAAACACTATCTTGAAAAGATCTGTACATCCCCATGTTCATTGCAGCATCATTTACAATAGCCAAGATATGGAAACAAACTTAAGTGTCCAACTATGGATGAATGGATAAAGAAGTTGTGGGGTATATAGATGCAATTCAACCATAAAAAAGAATAAAACCCTGCCGTTTGTGACAACATGGATGGACCTAGAGGAGATGATGCTAAGTGAAATAAGACAGAGAAAGGCAAATACCATATGATCTCATTTATATGTGGATTCCAAAAAACAAAACCAAAGAAACCCAAGTTCTCTCTATGGAGAGCACAAAATGGGTAAAGGCGATCAAAAGGTCCAAAGTTCTAGTTATAAAATAAGTCCTGGAGATATAATGTACAGCATAGTGACTATAATTAATAATACTATATTGCATATTTGAAAGTTGCTAATAGATCGTAAAAGTTCTCATCACAAGAGAAAAATTTTTTTGTAACTGGGATGGTGCTGGATGTTAACTAGACTTACTGTGATGATCATTTTGCTCTGTATATAAATGTGAAATCGTTGTATACCTGAACTAATATAATGTTATATGTCAGTTATACCTCAATTAAAAATATTTTTTAAATAACTGCTCCAGTCTAGTTTGCATCCATATTCTCCTGGTAAGCCGTGATACTATGTTTGATTTTCTTCCTGATACCAATTTCATACTTTGGCCTTGGTGTACCTGTTTTATTTATCAGTACTTGATTATCAGCTTCAATCCTGAACTCTCAAAGGGACTTCTGAAAATACCTTCTCATTTTGTAAGAGAGGAAACTGAGATTTCAAAGAGGTAGAGTGAGTTGGCCAGGGAATACCCACCGTGTTAGAGACGGAGCTGGACTCACCAGGCTTGTGCCCTGGTAATTCCACCTGCTACCCAGATGCAATACTTGCTGAAGTCCTGGAAGGTGGAGAGGGTATGAGTGGTAGATGAAGGCAGGTTGTATCTACCTTGGAATGTCTACACACACACATACACACACACACACACACACACACACACCTTATTTTGCAGTAACTTAAAATTATTTATATACTACCCTGAATCAGAAATGATTTAAAATTCTGTCTATCAATCCATATTTCTTTTAAGGTTTGCTCATTGGAGTGAACATTGAATAACATAAAAGTTTGTATATGCCCACAAACATTTATGGAGGGAGATACAAGAAACTTAATAGTGGTTATCTTTGGGGAACAAGGCTGGAAGACACCCAGCCCCACTCGCTCTGATCTATTTATGTCACTTTCTCATGTACTGTTTGAAATGTTTATATGATGGGTGAATGGGGATCAAGAGAGATGACTCTGACTTGGAGGATGTTGCAGCATATGAGGGAGATAGAATAAGCATCCATGATTATTGTGTGATATAAACTGAGAATAATTTTATTACAAAGTAGCCTCAACTCAAGCCTTAAAGAGATTAGGTAGAAGAGTAATTCAAACTGGGTGTGGGGGAATTGACAATCATTCTGTATTGTCCCTGAGACAGAGGAGGTCTTAATCCCTTGACAGATCTCAGCTCAGGCTCATGTCAGCACCTGGGCACGAAAGCCCTGTGTGCTCTTAGTGGTGTTAATGTCTTCTCATAGCAGCTCAACCACAGGAACTCTGTGACTGACTCTCCCTCCCTACTAGTGATTATACTTCATCTGGTTTCAGCCTGGTTGCTGAATATTATTAATCAGGAGCACAGACACTTTCCCAGTTTCCAAGGTTCGGAGAAACTTGGCACAAGTTCATGAACAGTATCTGCTAAAGCAATGTAGTCCTTGCTGCTGCCTCTGGAGAGAGACATTCTTATCAGGAGAATACCAGGAATCACTTCCTTATGCAGGTCTTCACTGCAAGATAAAGGATCAGTGAAGAAGGGGAGGATGTCTGTCAGGATTAGAAAGAGATGGCTCTGCTTTTTCATCTTTGTAACACCTACTTAATCATGTATTACAATGACAAGGAATGGGGCTGCTAATTTTGCCCATATTTGGGGTTTACTTTTTCAATTGGAAATTCACTGTGATGCACATCTTTTAAAGAGCTGTAAAATAGTAGAATGACACTTGTTAAAGATACCATCTTTATATTTCCAACTCTCTTACTTTCCAGGCCAAGTTAGTGACTGTGAACACTGCGGCTTTTTTTTGTAAAAATGTTATTTTAGGTTTCCAGGGATTCAGATGGCACTCCTGCTTGAGCTGTTCTCACTGCCAAATCCCAAAAGGAAAGGTTTATCGTATTAATTAGAGCTATTAACATACATGAAATTCTAACTTCTTAAATTACATTGTAACATTTCTTTCAGGCCAATAGGGATATCTTTTGGTGGATTTGTTGTAATTTTAACATGTTCCGTGTCACCATACCTTAATATCTGTAGTGTAACTATGAGCAAACAGAATCACCCATGCGTTGCTAAGCACATACTGTAGTTGTTGCACCCCAAGAAGGAGGATGGACTTATGTCACTCTCTGCTTAAGACTCTTCCATGACCTTCCTATTGCAATGAGAACAAAATCCAAACATCTTACCAGAAACAAGACCTACCTTTGGCACTCTTGGTGTACACTTAATCAGGCCAGAGGCCCAAAGGCCCCCAGCTGAGCATTGTTTTCCCAGTTTGTGCATGCTTCCATTTCTTCTGCATTTGGGTCTCATCCACTCTAAACGTGGAATAACTAAGTGGTATTAATAGGTGGAGCCATCTGGCTAAACTCTCTTTCTCTCTGTCTCCTAACTTAAGGTTTGACCTCCACAGAGAATTCCCAATAAGAGTCTTCCTTGGAAACTTATACTCAACTGAGAGATATGGTTGTTCCACCACCTCGAGCCCTGAGCTGAGGAAATCTTTC